AGCTCCGATGTAAGGAACTAAGGCTCAGAGGGGTTAGCGGTTAGCCTCATGTCAGAGGTCACACAGCAGGGGATGCTGACCTCCACCTCTCTGCCCTCAGGGCCTGACCTCTTACCCAATGGGCCGCCTCCGTGAGAACAGTGACAGGGAGGCGCCCAGGTGAGGATGCTCTGACCCACCTGGGCTGGGGAGCAGGCAGCCTCCTGGAGCAGGTGATCCAGGTAAGCTGGGAAGCCTCGGAAATGGGGAAGCAGAGGAAGGCGCGGAGGCAAAGGAGACAGGCAAGGAGGGGAAATGGCGGGAGGGCTGGGGGAGCCGGGCCGGCCTTGTCTCTAACGTCTGTTGCGTTTCTCTTGTTGCTGACTTGGATTTGCAAGAGTTATCATCTCGCTTTTCCTCACGACCGTGCCTGGCGTGAGGTCAGACCTCAGGTCTAGGGCTGGAGAGGTGCGCCGGAGGGAGGGAGGCTGGGAGGGGGTCCCACACCCGCCTCTGTGGGTTTGGGGCCAGGGTGAGAGCGGGGTGGGGGCTGGGCCAGGGGGCTGGTCACCTCGGAAACACGTTCTGAACGTGGAGGTCGGGCAGGAGGTGGGGCACCTGGGACCTTGATCCCATGTGGTGTTCAATGTCACGGTGAGGAGGGACTTAAGGCCTCCAAGACCCACCTGCCACCTGCATTAATCAGCTGAGCAGACCTCCCGGGGGAAGGATGAGGGGCCATTTGCTCTGCATCTGGGTAAACCGAGGCACAGAGAAGGTAAAGCAGGTGTTGAGGAAGGTGTGTGCTTAGAGATGTGCTTTCACGGCTTCCCCATCTACCAAGACCAAGGCCCCTGTGTGCTAGCGCCCCTGAAACGATGTTTAATGTCCGTCCACGTCACCATGGAAGAAGCAGGATTGTCAAGATTGGATAAATGAGCCCGGCTGGTGTGGCTCAGTGGTTGAGCATTGACCCAGGAACCAGGAGGTCACGGTTCGATTCCCGGTCAGGGCACAGGCCCGGGTTGCGGGCTTGATCCCCAGTAGGGGGCGTGCAGGAGGCAGCCGACCAATGTTTCTATCTCTCATCGATGTTTCTATCTCTCTTCCTCTCCCTTCCTCTCTGAAATCAATAAAAACACTAGCCTGGATAGATGGTAATAGGAAGCCTCACACTGGAACACAGCGCATGCCCCTGATGCGCAGGAGGTGTTCTGAGAGAGGAAGCTGGTGGGGTAGGCACGGCAGCCAGACTGTCCCTCATCACAGATGGGGAAACTGAGGCTCAGACAGTTTACAGACCTTCCCCAGGTCACCACGCCCGAGGGGAGTGGCAAAGCCGGGATGCGGGCTCAGGTCTTCAGATTCCAGGCCTGTGGCTCTTGCTGGGATATCAGGCCTTCTTCTCTCTGGAACCTTCTACCTGTCTCCAGCATTCAGGGATCTTAGCTCCCGGCTCCGTCCGCTCACTCCCGGGAACCCTGCACTCGGTGTCTTTCTCCCTCAGCAGCGACTGCCCCCTTAACCCGAAAGGCCCCCTGGGAACGCCAGCCGTCGGTGACACTGACCGGGGAGGGAAGCAGCATTTCCCAGGCCACGCCCTGCCTGCATCCGTCCCGGTTAGCAGCTTTCGCTCAGCCCTGGGCGGACCGGCACTCTGCATGCCCAGCAGGTGCGGCCAGGCTCCTGGGCCCAGGACCACACTCGGGTAGCAAGTGGGGAGCTGTGGGATCGCTGTGAACGTCACCTGCCTGGTCTGTGGCCGGTGCTATGCCCTCCCCGCTCCTCACCATCTCTCTCCTGAAGCTCAGGGTTAGCGCTGGTCTCAAAGGCACAAGGGAAGGGTAACCTCCTTCCTTTCACGGCAGCTGCCACCTCTTTGGGAGCAAGCTCCTCGTGCCCACTGGCACCCCCCACCCATCGGGGTCCGGAGCGGCAGCCGCCCTCCAGGATTGAGAGGCCTCTTTGGGCACCGCCTCCCCCGCCTCTCGTGGGCCCCACAGCCTCGCAGGCGGCCCTCCAGGCCGGGCGGGAATGAGGGCTGGGGCGTCTCCTCTTGTTGAAACCTTGCCCTTGCCCGAGAACCCTCGCTGACAGCTCATCCCTATTAATTCTCATTGTGCACTTCGAGCCAATAGGCTTCTATTTATTCATTTATCTTGGTCTTCCTTCTCCCTGCCCTTCCTCACTGGCTGGAATTTACAATTCAGTTCTCAGGTGGCTTTGCTGAAGGACAAAGCCTGGGACGGAGAGGGTCTGCACCCCAACCCTGAAAAGGGAAGCCACTCCTGGGCCCCCCTTCACCCTCAGGGTGCTAAGGGGCTCAGGCTCCAGGCGGCTGGATGTTGGGACAGCCCAGCTCCCGCTGCAGGAGGTTCTGCCTGGGAATAGGGACCCACTGGGCCATGGCTAGGTTAAGGGATCATTGGGGCGCCCCCTGGTGGCCGATTAACAACACCTGCTGAGCTGGAGGAGTTGAAGCTGCCGGAGCATCCAAGGCCGGCCTGCACCCTGGCACAGGAACTCCTCAGGCGGAAGTGAGGCAGAGAAGAAAAGGCAGGGACGGACGCCGCCAAGGGCACAACAACAACAACAGGAAGCAAATAACAGTACCGCACACTGAGCAGCTAGTACGTGCCAGCACGGCACCAGGACCCGGGGGCGGCTGCGTCCTGGCCCGGCACCACGGCAGAGCAGGGACCCTAAGCGGGGAGAGGGGAGACCCAGCCACCCGGTGGGTGAGTTCCCAGCCGCCTTCTAGACCGAGTGACCTTGGCAGGATTTAGGCGACACCTTCTAATCCCTGAGCTGGGATTAGGACGGCACCTGCGCCACAGCATCCTAGAGACAACAGGCCCGGCTGGGAGGAGCTGCAATCAACGAGGGTGTGGGGGGTTGAATCCATCTGGGTGGGACCCCTCCTCCCTGCGGAAGCCAGGCCCCCGCCCAAGGCAGCCTGCCCTCCACCCAACCAGGCAGCATCCCCACCCTCCTGGGCTGCATGTCTGTCACCAAAGACAGAGCCGCTGGCCGCCTGGAATGAAGCAGCTGCGTCCATCAGACCCCGAGGACCCACGATGAGGGGATGTGAGAGCTCTGCTCCCCGGCCTCCTCCCGTCACCCCAGGAGGAAAGCGGGGGTCAGAAGCCCCTTCCCAAGCCCAGGGCTCGAGGGCGCTGCCTGGGCTCGGGCTGCTCGGCATCAGGACTCTGGGGTGACCAGCCACCCTGGCAGCTGCGCTGGGCTCTCTGTGGAGGGCAGAGGTCCAGGGCCAAGGGCATCCCAGCAGCCTTGGCCAGGAGAGGCCTTGGACTTGCCTGTGATGGTCATCTCTCCTCCGGTCCTTGACCAGAAGCTGGCCCAGTGAGTGACGATTTAGCTGCCTGCCCCTCCCCCGCCAGCACATTCAGGAAATGATTAATATTTAAGAGAAGAAATACGGTTAAGGCTAATCCGAGAGAGAAGCAGAGGTTGACGCTGCCCAGGGAGTGTGCGCAGAAGTCCTCACCTGAGCTGGGTGGGCAGCCAGTCCGGGGTGCGGACAGAGCTGGGCTCCCCCCGGCCTTGCCCCTGACCTTCAGGGGCCAGCCTCCTTGCCCCTCCCTGAGCCAGTGCCGCTCTGGGGTCCCCAGTGCACTCATCCCCACAGACTCTCTGGCCCCAGCTCCCAGCCTTTCCGCCATCCCTCTCTCCCCAGCCCAGCCACTGCCCACAGTGACAGCTCACGACTTCACCACCGAGCAGGGACCTGCCTGCCTGGGCTGACTGCCCTGGGAGAGGACTGAAGTGTCCCCTGGGGCTGAGGCCTCCTCAGGAGTCTGGCAGGGATGCCAGCTCAGTCCAGCCATAAACCCAGAGACCGGGAGGCCCTCCCCGCAAGGACACGGAGGCAGCAGACAGCCTGAGGTTAATGCTGAGCCCCTCCCGTGAGCTCCCGCAGCCTGGCTGCCCTGCCCGGCCTCCTGCCAGGCCCTGAGCCTCCAGAACAAGCCCAGTGGGGAAGGCACTTCTCAGAAGGTGGTTTAGCTCAGTGACTTGGGGACCAGAATACTTCCTGGTGTGTGTGGGCCTCAGTTTCTCCATCTGTATGATGGGAATGGCAACAGCTAACATCTAAGGGGCACGTGCTCTGTGCCAGACACTAGCCTGAGCATGTTACACATACAAATTAGCTCACGTATTCCTTACAATGACCGGAGTGTGCTGTTAGCGTGCCCATTTCACAGATGGTGGATTAGAGGCCCAGAGATGCCACAGGTCCAGAGCCATCTGCCACAACTCCTGCTTTGGGAGCACAGGGTCAACCTGACTGCACTGAGGGGAGGACTCCATGGAATGACGCATGTCTAGCTCCAAGCCCACGCACTCAGGGAGCTTGCATGTATGACCCCTGGTATTATTACTGCTGTTGCTGTTAACATTACCTGAGCACTGACATACCCCGTGGCACGTGGGGATGGAATTGGAAAGGGCACCAGCCACACTGCCATCCTGGTCTAACCCCTCCTGCCTCCCTCTGCCCTTCCATCACCCACCAGCTGCAAAGGGCCAGCTGCGAGCTTGGCACACCCTGGCCTGGCAACACTGTTTGCTGGATTGGATCAGGTGGGATAGGGAGTCAGAAGGGACCAGCAGAGGGAGGTCAGCAGGTAGCCTTGCTCACTCGCCCAGAATGCAGACTTCCTACCGGGGAGGCGGGGCTTGTCTGGTGGGTGGGGCTTGTCTGGTGGGCGGGGCATAGCTGGGAGGCTGGGACTGTGACAACTACAGTTTTCCCAAGAGAAAAGGATCCAGGGGTCCACTGGGCAGGAACTTCCCCACCCCAGAGAATAATGTCACATGACCCCAGGGTCCTCAGGGCGGCCTTCGCTTTGGCACGTTTCCAAGGTGGGACAGACTCCAAACTGCATTCAAGTCAACCTTTTGCCTCGGCGCCCCCACTCTGCTCACCCGCTCCCAGGGGCCGTCCCAGACGCCCTCCCATTGGCCCGAGCAGACAGAGCCCCAGTGGGCTGACTCACGTGGGAGCAGAATCTCTCAGGGGGGTCTCCACACGTGATGCCCTTGGGCTCCACCTTCACCTTGACGTAGTCCTTCAGGCGCATCACCTTGGGCTGGCAGGCGTAGAACTCCCAGGTGGGGCCCTCATCCGAGGTCACCCAGGATTTGCAGATGTCATAGTCCCCGGCGGCCAGCGGGAGGCAGTGCAGGAGGAGAGCCAGCAGGCCCAGCATGGCTGTGCAGTCCGGGGGGTGCGGCCCAGAGGGGCCCTGGAGAGGCGGCGGCTGGGTCAGGCGGGGCTCGAGGCCTCAGCATGGACAGGCCGCATCTGCCAGGCGGTGGAGGCGGAGGTCCCAGGGAACGGCGCTGCCCGGGAGCAGCGAGGAACTTGCTTTTCCCCAAAGGCCGGGAGGAAACCTCGGAGCCAGCGTTTCTCAGACTGCTGATGGGCAGATCAAACGGTGGCCCATCACTCGGAGTCCTCCTGACCTTGGCATTCCCCCTCTCCCGCAGGGGAACCTGATCAACTCAGGCAGACTCTCCGGTTGTGACAGTGGATGGAAATGGGATCGGGAGGCACTCCGCGGGGAGCTGGCATGGGGCCGGATCAGAGTGCCTTTAATTTCTGTCCTTCCAGCCAGTCCTGGTCTTTAAAGGGCCCTTCATGTGTGATGTGCTCACCACTCCCGCAAAACAACCCTCCGGCCTGTGTTGTAAAGATGAAATGAAATCAGGAGGTGGACGGGTGAGCTGGAAACCTGGTCCCTCTACGGGACTGGACTTGACATCTCAGACCCATAAAAGAGATTTCTTTTCATGTGAGTTGAAAGTGACAACGATTGTGTCGCTGGACTGGAACATAAAAAAGCGACAGAGGTGTTAACTGGGGAGCAGCTTATTGGGCTCTGCCTTGGTGGGGACCGGCACGAGTGGGGGCCGGCTGACCTTGGCTGGTAGCCATTGGCAACTTATTATGAAGTTTCTGGGACTTCAGCTCCATCCATGCGGGTACTCAGGGTCTGGCTTGTCTTTCGTGGGAAGAGGGAAGGAGAGCTCATTAGCAACAACACCTGCAACAAATTAAAAAGAGAAGAAGGGGGACAGAGATGTATAAGAACAAAAGCTCTCTGGCAAAATGTGCAAAAAATGAGGCTGCATTAGCGAGGTCTCTGAGGAAGCTGGGTTATTTTTATTAATATTGGAGTTGCACATTTGGAGGCCGGGCACATTATTAAAAAGGTGGTGCGTTTTCTCCTCGCTTAATGGGGGCGTTAGGCCAGCAGAAGTGCCCTTGCTTGGGGCCGGCGACTCCCTAAAACGTCCCCAGCAGCCAAGAATGAATGATGGCTTTAAAACACCCTGACCGACCAGTCAAAACGTCAAAGCGGAGCTGCGATTGTACCCCTAGCGCCAATGGGCTGTGCGTACAGGTAGACAGCGGGCCAGGAGCGGGCCAACGGTCAGTCGGATAAACACCTCTCTGAACTCGGAGTTTCATTTTCAATCCTAAGAAACGAGGGATGCTGAAGCCTTCAACAGAAGTGACAGCACTCTGTCATTTGGGTTTTCTGATCGAGGCCAACAGTTTGCAACCATCCGCAGAGGGGCTGTTTATAAACGGATCACTATTATGATTATGGCTTTCCTATTTTAAGCTACTGGCAATTATCTTAAAAAGCCCAAATAGATGTGACTAATACGGATGTCCTCTTGCGAAAAACACGAGCCCGGTAATGTGCTGTGCTCCCCGGCAGGGGATAGGTATACATCACCAGGAGGAGTCCAGCCGCTGTGGGAGCCCGACCAGAAACAGGAGCCAACAGGGCAAAGGTCACTGCGTGAGTCATGGCAGAAGCCCTGTCTTACTAAGTATGCTGGTTCTCATGCCGGCAATCATTGCAGCTAAGTCCCCCAAGGGCTGCAGCATGGTGCGAACCAGCCAGGCTCCCCTGGACCCCCTCCACCAGCCACTGCACGAAACCCCATTCTCCACCCAGACACAGACACATTCCTGCCCGCAGGACAAACTGGGAGGGCGGGCATGGTCCCCAGGGGGCTTGGCGACTCAGCACCTTCCCGGGAGAAGCCAGCGCCCTGAGCTCCAGGCCCAGGCAGGCCCAGGTCATAAATCTGAATTAAGGAGGCGGCCCCTGCCCCCCTGGCTGGCTGAAGAGCTCGAGATGGAGATGGATGAGGGGGAGGGGACCACATTTTCCCGGCTCACCTCTGGCTGTAAAAGAAACTGTTATAGAGGCTGCCCGGCCTTGAATTCGCTCCTGGCTAGAAAACTCTCAGAAAGAACCCGCCTGGTGACTATTTTTACAACCCGAGAAATTGTAGTAAAAATAAAATAGCGCGGCCTGCAAAGGTTTGGATGCTTCTACCCAAGTGAGCTTTGTGCCGCCCAGAACACAGCAGGTCCCTAATGAATCCTTCCAGCCTCCAGTTCCAACTGTTCCCCAACAGGTAGGGGCTCCCAGAGGCAGAGGGGGCTCCGGGACTCCGGGCTGGGCGGGCGCTGGGTGGGCACTGGGCGGGGGGGGGGCCAGGAGGCCGGGCAGGCGGCGCACCGGGCTACTCGCAAACCTATTCATTGCATGGCAGTTCTGTTGGCTTAAATGCCACGCGTTCCCTGGAAAATGGGGCGGACAACAACCGAATCCGCCCGGGGCGGGGGTAATGGATATGTTTACAACTAGTCAATCAATTGGGCGCCGCCGGCGGGGAGTTGTGAACTCGGCAAGAGAATATGACAGCCGGTTTTTGCCAAAAAGCAAAGAAGGGAGGGGGCGGAGGGACGCCACAGGCCCCGGAACGGGGAGGCGGAACGCCGGGGGTGAGCCCGCGGGGACGTTTCAGAGTGAGAGGCTGCATCCCGGCGGATCGGCTTCTCCTCGGAAAATAAATCTCCACCTGATATTCTGAAGAAACTGCAGCCCCCGAAACAAATGGGATCGATGCGCTTTATTTTCTTTTAAGAGTCCTCGGAGCCGGGGGGGCTGATAGCCAGGGTATTAAAACCCGAAAATTAGATTTTACCAGGATTTCTCAACTCCGCTTTCTCTGTCTTATTGAATTAGCGCCTCTCCGAGCGGGGAGCTGGCTCCTCCCGGACCTGCCGGCTGCGCCCTGGCCTCGTGGGAAACTTGCCGCCCGCCGAGGGCGCGGCGCCCCCGGGGTCCCTGGAGGGGGTGCTGGGGCTTCTCCGGGGACCCCGGCACCCGAGGTTCCCTCTCCCTTCCCAGCGGGGCAGCCGAGGAGGGCGAAACTGCCTTCAGGGGGAGGTGCCGGGAAGAAAGGGGGAGTCCACCGGGGCTACCTTCCGTCCCCCACTGCCCCCCGCCCGACCTCTCCCCGCCCGCGCCGGGTCCGTAGGTGCCCCGCTCACCGCCGGCTCCGCGAGCATCCGGGTTCCGGAGGCGCCGGCGCCCCAGCCCGGGAACAAGAGCCTTCCGCGGCTCCCGACCACCCCACGCCCTCTCTGAGGCCGCGGAGCCCCGGAAAGTTGAGTGCGGGGGGCGGGGCGCGAGGAGGAGGCCGCGGCGGGGCTGCGGGGCGGGCGGCTCAGCTTGGCCCGCGCAGCCCGGGTCGGTGGGTCCGCGCTCCGGGGCGCGGCGAACGGCGTGCACAGCGCCTGGACGTGCCGGGTGACCCCGCGGCTGCTTTTTGTCCTCCCAAGTTGAGTGCCAGGCGCGGGAACAATTAATAATCACGCTTTTAATGAAGGCCGGCCCGGCCCCGAGGGTGCGCCCTGGCTGGATGCAGCCTCCCTCACTTAGAAGACGCCGAGCGAGCGAAGCGCTGCAAATGAGTTGCACCATTTCCCCTGCCGCCTCCCCTCCCCTCCCCGCCCCACAGGCAGGCAACTTACTCCCGGTGGATCGGCCGTGAGCCCCCGTCCTCTTCCCGCCGCCCTGCGGCTCCTGCTCCCCCATCTGTGTCCCGCCCAGCCCGAGGCTGGCCTGCACAGGGTCCCCAAGCCGGTCCCTGCGCAACCCCCTCCCCATGCACCCGCCCCTCCCCTGCAGGAAAGAAGTTTCCAGTCTTGGGTGGCCAGGAGTTTCCCTCAGCAGCTCACACGTACCCGGCTTGGAGACACGGGAAGGGGGTGGGGTGGGCGCTAGCTGTGGAAATTTAATGGGGGGGGGGGGGGCTCGAGAGAAGGGTTAGTTTCCTCTTTGCAAACACACCCAGGCATTCTCGCAACATCCATCCCCCCGCCCCACCCCCCCACACACACGCTGGAGAAAGACCCCGGTGGGAAGCCGGCCTGAAGGCAAGCGACTCCTTTAAGGAGCCGCTACAAAGGCACTCGCACGCCCCTCTCCGGCTCCAGCCCTGCGCGGTCTCAGCCGCCACTAAATAACTTTTGCATCCGAGCCCCTGCCCGGCTGCTGTCGGCGGCTCGGCCCGGCCCGGGGAGCCGGCCTGGGCAGCGAAGCCCTTTAAGAGGAAGCCAGGCTGGCAAAGCTGCGGCCGCTCTCCCCCCGCTGCCTCCCGGCTCCCCGCCCGCCTTACCCGGCTCAGCTCGGAGCGGCTGCCCGGCGCGGAGACCCGGAGGCCGAGGACCGCCACCCTCCGGCGCGCCGCCTCCCCCTCGGGTGGCGCCGGGTGGGGGCGAGGCAGAGGGCTGCAGGCCGCGCTCCTTCCCGCGCCGCTCCCGGCTCCCGCCGCCGCGGTGGCCGCCCCGCTGTGGCCGTCAGAGTGGAGCTGGGGAGCCCTCCGGCCGCCGGGGGGGCCGCCCGCAGCCGTCCCGGAGACGCGGGCCGGGGGAGGGGGCCGCCCGCGCCGCCAGCATCGCCCGCCCCGGCCGAGCGGGAGGTCGCTGCTAACAAGTGCAAACTTTTGGGTCCCCCTGGGCGGCTCGGAGAGGACCCGCGCTCGGACGCCCGGCTGCCCCCGGCCCGGGTGGGCTTCGCGGCTGGTCCTCGGGGCGCCGGGGCATCCCCCTGCGCGGCTGGGGCCAGATGGCGGGGCGCTTCACCGCCCCCCCGCACTCAGCTCCAAGTTAATGCCGAGGCTAAATCCGCCTGCCATCGCTCACGATCGCCATCGGCTTTTATCTCTCGGTCTGATCCGGGCTGCGTAACTTCCTCTGTGTGGCTTGAACACACCATCCCACCACGGAGCAGCGGTCTTCTTAAAGGTGCAGGGAGGAAATACTGCGAGACTCGGGGGACGCGCCACGGCCCTGGGAGGGGCGCCGCGGGCAGGGGCGTCCCGGCGGGCCCGCGGCCAGGGTGGCCCCAGCAGGCGGCCGCGGGAGCGAGCCTGCTCTGGGGGGTCGCTGGCTACACATCTCCTCCGGGCGCGGGGGCCCGCGGGTCCCTGCGCGCAGAGCGCATCCTCAGCCAGCGCGGGTCAGGCACCGGGCGGCAGCTTCCTTTCCCGAAACCCAGGGGCCTGACGGGGTGCCAGCGCCCATGGGCGTGGGGGCTGCCCCATGGGCACCGGGGAGGGGACCGAGTGAGTCAGTCCGCCTACCCCAGCAGCCAAGGGCGCAAGGCTGCTGCTCTGACTCCCTCCGCCAAGTGCTGCCGCCCAGAAGGCCCCGAGCAGTGGGTAAAGGGGTGGGTGGGTGGATTTGGGGAGATGGGGAGGGGGAGCGTTGTGAGCGCACAACCAGAGCCTGAATACCAGCTGACACATGCCGCCTCCACCCTGATGGGCCCTGCCTTGGAGCCGCCAAGCGGCTCGGGTAGGAGAGCAGAGTAGGGGGGCAGGAGGGGCGCAGTCCCTGGTTAGCAGGGGAGAAGGGTGTGGGAGGACTCCCACCGGGGCCAGGGCAGAGGCCACCAGTTGGCAGCCCTGGAAAGCCCTGGGCTCTCAATCCCCCTGGGGGTTTCCTGCCAGGCTGCCTGGCAGGGCGGTGGGCAGAGCTTTGGGCCTTCCCGGGACTTGCAGGGGCTCCTGGCCCCCTCCAGGGTGGTTTCTCTCTGCAGCACACAGCAGGCAGCACCCTCATTTAGATGCATCAAGAACAAAGAGACTGAGGACACAGAGAGAGAGAGAGGGACTCACCCAAGGTCACAGAGGGTGTCAGGCATAGGAGCAAGATGTGGCCCCTCGGCACCCACCCTCCGCCATCTCCTACCTCCGCCCTAACCCTCCCTGCTCTTGGCTCCCCTCAGCTTGGAGGGGGGCTGCGCTGCTGATCCCACTTCCACTGTCGTCACAGAGCAGGCTGAGGGTGCAGAGTTAAAGACTGCCGTGTGCTTTAATAATAATAATAATAGTACTAGCTGACACGTATGAAATACTCGTTTTATGCCGGCTCCGTGGAAACCAGATGGTGTATTAGCCACTGATTCTTCCCAACAGCCCTGTGTCAAGGGATGCATGACGCTCAGAGATGTGCAGTTACTTGCCCAAGGTCACACAGCTAAGGAAGTCTCTCACCTGGGAGGCAGGGTTCTCGGGCCCCAGGTGGCCCTCTGCCACTGCCTGGCTCACTGGTTAACTTGGGGGGCACCACACAGATGGCTTGTGGGCCTCAGTTTCCCCATCTGTGAGATGTGAATAGTGAGTCTTTCTTTCCCAAAGAGGGGTCAAAACAAGGGGGCTCCCCCCGCACATGGACTCAGATCCCATCCACTCGCCCGCCAGAGAGCTGTTCTGTGGCCAGATGCTGGCCAGCCCAGGCCTGGGAGCCTCCAGAGGGCAGAAGCTCCTCCTCCGAGAACACAGCTCCCTGTGATGGTTAAGCATTCGGCCTGCAGGCAGCAGTGCTGCACGGTGTGGGGCTCCCTGGCAGGCAGGGTGAGTGATGGCCCCCCCAGGCAGGGTCATCGATTCCTGGGAACCGCCCTGCTCCTCCGTCTTCGCGGAGACTGGCTGCTGTCACAACAGCCAACAAGAAGCCGAGGAGGATCTTACTGCGGATCTTTAAACACCGGGGAGGAAAGGGTCTGTCGGGTTACTGCCAGAGTACTGCCGGAGGGTTTCTGGGTGCTGCTGAAGACCAGGTTTCAAACAGCTCTCCGCGCCCCCCCCCCCCCCGCAGGACCCCCTCTCTCTCCAATGAGCCGAGGCCAACAGGCCTGTCTTCCATCTTCCCGTTTCCAGGCCCTGGGGATTATGGGGGCGTGATAAGAGCACTGCCCTGGGAGTCCGGGTGATGGATTTCTCCCGCTTCCGCCCTTAACGAGCTCTGTGGCCTGGGGTCACCACTCTCAGCTCTTGGCCTCAGTTTCTCCATCTGCATCATGAGGGGCTTGACTCCGGAAGGAGGTCCCTGTGCGCTGATCCTGAGTTGGCCACAGGCCAGGCCGTAGCAGCCTCCAAGAGCCAAGTTTCCAAGTGAACAATGAAGTGCTGTTTCCCAGGATGGGAAGCGATAGGGTTCCAGCCACGTGGGAACCAGGTGGGCAAGGGACGCTCATTCTTAAACTTCATTACGGCACCTTCTGACAAATGACCTTTCCCGGCAAGGGAAAGAAGCCAGGCACCGGGGGCAGGGAAGTGGTAATGAGTCTCCCCCCATGATCACTGGCTCCCTCTCACCGCAGCCTAATCACCCTCTTCACTGGTGGGATTTTGGCTCCACGGCACAGTTGTCATTTGAATTGTGTATGTGGAATCTGCTGTCAAAAAAGCATCTCCAGAACAATGCATTTAGTTCTACTCCATCTGGTTTTTTTAAAGGAGATATATATATATATATGGACATATAAGGAGATATATGAATATATCTCTACATATGTAGAGAGAGACATATACATGTATATAATAAAGATACCAAAGTGTGAACAGGGAGATGGGGCAATGGCAGGCTTCATTCTATATGTCCTTTCTGTGTAGCTCAACTCCTTAGCAGTGAGGAAATATGCATAGATGGGGTAGATGCGTAATAGGAAATTATAAAGTCACACACAAAAGTGACCTACTCATTTTGCAATGAGAGGTAACAGGTGAGGTCCAAGCCCTCTGGAAATTTCCGCAAAGCCTGGTGCAGACAGACAAAAGGACAGACAGATAAAATGAGCTCCCACCACTGATGAAAGGCAAGTGGAAACTCAGAAGCCACGCCCACATGTCCTCACCCTTTGCTGGCTCACTCCGTCTCTGTGAAGCCAGACCAAGAGTTTCATTTGTCCCCTTGACCTTGAGCAGTTGAGATGTGGCTGTAAGTAGGTGCTAAGATCCTGGGAACCAGCCCAGGACCCTCTAGGAGTTTGCAGGCCAGCCTGGGCCCTTTCCTTCCACGCCGAGGCAGGGGCAGGGAGAGAGACCAAGCCCCAAGCCCAAGCCTTCCGTCCCCAAGGTGACAGCTCCAGGCGGTGGCAGAGGCTGCAAGAGGCACCCGGCTCCTCTCTGTCAGTTCTCCGCTCTAATCTCCAGCCCATACTCCCATTAATTATTATTACCTTATTAATCACACTGTGATTAATTCAGTGATGGTGATCCATAATTGATTGCGTTTGCTATGGCGCCTTTCATCCACACATCTCCCAAGATGTGCACCGCCTACGACAAGAGACATAAGCAGAACGTGTTCTTTGCTCGCCTGCATTTTGTTGGATAAACTTCCCTTCCAGAGGCAGGGGGCTAATGGCGTCGGGCAAACTGGGCTTGCCAGCCCCGGCTCCGTGCCATCTCCCTGGGCAGCGACGCTCCGGCAGCGCCTTCCCAGCCAGGGCTCCTGCTGGCGCTGCCTTGCCCGGGTGGCCATGCCCTGGGAGCCCGCAGATCCCCTTCCCTCGGCAGGGAAGATGCCTGGGCCCCGGGCTGCTGGGCAAGGACGGTGTGGGCTCTGCAGGGAGGCAGTGTCGCAAGTGGCACTGGACCAGGGCTTGACGTTTGGGTGTGAGTCCTGCCTCTCCTGGTAATTAGCTCTGTGACCTTGAGAAAGCTACTGCCGCTTTCTGCCTCGGTTTACCCAAATGGAAATCGAGACGAATAAAAGTCTCTCCCTTTCGAGGGTAATTGTGAAATTTGCATGTGATGTTGCACAGAAAGCACCTAGAAGTAAGTGCTCAGTAACTGTGAGCAGCCTGCTTCTGGCAGCAGCAGCAGCACTGTGACTAGGGCCATTCTCTTCTTTGAGCCTCAGTTTTCTCAGCTGTAAAATGGGATGACCGGTCAACGTGGAGGGTTCCTTTTATGAGCACTTACTCTAGTAATGGTTGTGAATCGGGGCTTCAGAGCCAAGCAGCCTGGACGCACACCCCGGCTCACCGTTTCCTAGTTGTGTGACCTTCGGCAAAGGACTCGCCTTGCCCAGCCTCCGCTGCCTCCTCTGGGAAAAGGGGCGAGGACTGCATTCAATGCCGAGGCTTTCAAGGGGCTCAGTGAGCTGCCGGGCTTCCGGGACGTGCTTCACACAGGGTGGCTCTGGTATGTCATTGATACTGAACTGAGGGGCCGGCACTGTGCCCCTCAGGTCCCGGGGGTCCGTGTGTTTCCGCTTTACCCCGTGAAAGATGCTGTTATCCGCACAGCGTCCAGGCGACAACTCTGAGGTTAGGTCTGTCCTGGGTGAGTCGGCGAGGGGTCAGGTGGGTGGCATTTGCCCCCAGGTCTCGGGGCTGGGCTCACTGAACTGTGAATGAAGCAAGTCGCTCTGAGGCCGCTTCCTCCCGACAGAAAGGGAGGGGCTGGCATTGCAATGCCCACACTTGTGAGCAGGGGACCTGGGACCCAGAGTGGGCTGGTGCCTTCTCCGGGCAACACAGCAGTGGGCGTGGGCGAGCCCTCAGAACAGGCTCTGCACAGTGGGTGGTCATGCCCGGGGCCCACTGCCTTTGCCTGCTGAGTCTTCCCACAACCCCCCCGCCCCCCCGCCCGCCGCCTGGGTTTACTTCCACAGGGGACTGTCCTGTCCCTGCGCCCAGGGCAGCGGCAGGGAGAGCTCAGCCCAGGAGAGCCCCGTCTCCCAGCAACGCTGCTCAGCTCCTTCATGAGGGCCCAGCCGAAGACATGCTCGTGTCAGAGAATAATAGGGTTCATCAGGTCTGGGCTCTGTGGGGTGCCAGCCCCAGCTCTCCTCCCACCCCCCTGCCTCCCCCGCCTCCCCACCTGCTCCAGCACTGGGGACTGTTCTCAGGCTCTCACTGCCCAGCAGCAAGTTGGGGAGCTGAGCAAGGGGCCACGCCCACCCTGGCAGGTGGAAACCGTCCCCCCCGCGGCCTCCAGGTCTGCGAGCTGGTGCACAGGCGGTGAAAGGGCCTGGGGTCGGAGGGCAGTTAATGTGTTGCACAAAGGTGGCAACCAACGGGAGCAGGCGCTGCCTCCCCCTGCGGCCCCTCCACGGCGAGGCTGCCGCGGGGCATGCAAACTTCTCACCAGCAAAACCCCGGGTTCTGCCCGGCTGGCGAGCCTCAGGGGTTGAGCATCAACCCATGAACCAGGACGTCAGGGTTCCATTCCCAGTCAGGGCACATGCCCGGGCTGTGGGCTCCATTCCCCTTAGGAGGCGTGCAGGAGGCAGCCGATCCATGATTCTCTCTCATCACTGCTGTTTCTCTCTCTCTCTCCCTCTCCCTTCCTCTCTGAATCAATAAACTATATTTTTAAAAAACACACTGGGCCCTGAGAG